GACGGCCGGCGCCGGTGTGGGGCTGAGGGCCGCAGTCTCCGGCGCCGAAGCTCCTCCCTCTGCCTCGCTCGCCCGGCAGCCGGAGCGGCGTGGGTCTGTTTGGAAGCATTGTTCTCTGGGCAGGTGATCTAGATATCCCATGGCGGCTTCAAGGATGACTCGTGTGTCCCAGCCAAACACCTGAGTGTGCGCTCACTAAAAATAAGACACATCTCATTGTTGTCCTTTGTAGTGACACATCATCATCTCGGCACTGGAAGGCACTTAACGTATCAATAAAGTCCCGCAGCATCTTCTGTGGCTGTCGTTATAGAATCTGAATTTGCAAACCTAGAAAAATGAGACTGTCCCGTAAGCAGTGGGACTGGTAAAGTCCAAAGTAAAATAGACTTCCTGTTACCCTACCGGAAATGGTAGGCTGTGTTATATAATTCATGAGTCTGTGTGAAGACTTAAATGGTGCGTGCCCGTATCGCTTAATTGAGTGTGTAGTTTCACTACCACCTAGGACCCCAGTCAACCCACTATATCCTAGTAAAACATCGCCTAGGACCATCTGGGTTTTTTCCTGTTAGAGGGCAGGCAGGAGTCAACACAGACAGGGGTACTTTTTCTACCTGTGCTTCATTTGTGAAAGTGTTTGGGTTTCTGTAAAATACAGTCACTTTACCTGGAATTTGTTAGGTTATGCTCTTCTTGGTCTGGTTACTGGGCATCAAAGACATACAATAGTTTTATAAAAAAAAAAGGAATGTTTCTGTATCTGTCTTTGTAATGTTTTATTTACATTTTCAGTATACACTTTTTCAAAAATAACTTTGTTTTGGTACATTATTAGCAAGTAAGCAATATTGAGATGGAAAAGTCAAATAGTCCTGACAGTAAGTGGCATTTTTGGAAGGCTGTAACTTCAGAACATTGCATCTCACAAAAGTGAATTTCTGCCGGGTGTTGCTGTTGCACACCTTTAATCCCAGTGCTCGGGAGACAAAGGCAGGCGGATCTCTGTGAGTTCGAGGCCAGCCTGGTCTACAGATGGAGTGCCAGTACAGGCTCCAAAGGAACTCTGTCTCCAAAAACCAAAAAGAAAAATGAATTTCTTTTCGAGACAGGGTTTCTCTGTGGCTTTGGAGACTGTTCTGGAACTAGCTCTTGTAGACCAGGCTGGTCTCAAACTCACAGAGATCTGCCTGCCTCTGCCTCCCAAGTGCTGGGATTAAAGGCGTGTGCCACCACCGAGCCGCTTCATTTATTTTGGGAAAATGAATTTCTTAAATTGTTGTGTATAACTCTTTTTCAAAATCTTTTTTTTTTTTTGAAGGCATACAGAAAGTTAGCCAAAGAATACCATCCTGATAAAAATCCAAATGCCGGAGACAAAGTAAGTCATTTGAATTTTTGTTCTTGCAGTTTTAGTTTTAAATGGAAATTTAAAATAAATCACCCTCCAGAAACAAGGAATGTGGTGGGGGGTGGGGGAGAATCCATGTGTGCCTACAGAGAAAAACTTTATTATTTTAACTTACTTGAAAATGCCATGATGAAACTTAATGCTTATAATATTCTTTAAAAATATGAAAAATTAGCCAGGCAGTGATAGTGTTAGCACACACCCTTAATCTTAGCAGTCCACATGCAGAGGCAGGCGTGAGTTTGAGGCTGGTTGGTCAGAGCAAGTTCCAGTATAGCTATGGGCTGTACAGAGAAACCCTGTCTCAAAGAGAGAGAGAAATTATAGCTATTAAGATAGCTCGACCTTACAGGTCCTTGCCATGTGACCAGAACAGCCTGAGTTTGATCCACAGTGGAAGAACGCTGTCCTTCAGCCTCCACAAGTGCTCCCATACTCGAATCATTCATTTACAATAATAATGATAACTTTTAGAAGAATATTTTAGTTTTATAATGAGAATACTAAGCTTTTGAGCAGTAAGTGATAAAGAGGATCAAAATGAAACCAAAGGTAACTTGAAGCTTTTTATTAGAATTAAATGGATTCTGGGTTTCTGAAGTCTTTCTTATGTCCTTGCACTTAAAAGCCCAATTTTCATTTTTGCTTTTTCCTTATAGTTTAAAGAAATAAGTTTTGCGTATGAAGTATTGTCAAATCCAGAGAAGCGGGAGCTGTATGACAGATATGGAGAGCAAGGTCTACGGGAAGGCAGCGGCGGAGGAGGTGGCATGGATGACATTTTTTCTCACATTTTTGGTGGAGGATTGTTTGGCTTCATGGGCAATCAAAGTAGAAGTCGAAATGGCAGAAGAAGGGGCGAAGACATGATGCATCCCCTGAAGTGAGTCTTTTTTTAATTGAATGCGTTTCCAAGTGGTGATACTTACAGCACAATTGCTATAGAATATTTCATTGATTTAGCCAGGAAGTGGTGGTCCATGCCTTTAATCTCAGCATTTGGGAGTCAGAGGCAGGGGAATCTCTGTAAGTTCAAGGCCAGCCTGGTATACAGATAGAGTTCCAGGACAGCCAGGGCTACACACAGAGGAAACCCATCTCGAGAAAGAAAAAAAAATATTTCATTTATTTGAAAATGTTTACTGTGTTCTCATTGAGTAAATAAATTTGTTAATTGAATGTGTTTTTGCTTCAGAGCTTAAAGGGTGGAGGGGGTGCTCTAGAAATGTAGGTCAGTTGGTAAAGTGCTTAACTCACAGAAAATTCTGGATTTGATTCTGGACACAGTAATAAACCAGGTTTGTTGGGTTTTTACCTGTAATTACAGCACTGGGGAGGTAGAGACAAGAGGATTAGGAGTTCAAGGTCATATATGCTCAGCTGAATATCTAGTTTGGGGACAACCTAGATACATGTAAGCTTGTTTCAACAGAACAACCTAGATCATAAAGAATAGTTGATGTTTACTGGGATTTGTTTTTCATGTTGTTGAGGTTGTTTGTTAATGATTGTAAATTTCAAGTGTGAAGATTATATTCTTTGAAGTATGTAAATCCAGGCTTTAAAAAAAATGGTTGTTTGCTTAGATTATTTACATGATATAGTCCTCTGTTACTTGATCCTTGATCCTAACTCTCCTGAGTTGGTTTCCATGGAGCTTACTGGCTTCCAGCCTGGCATTAACCTGCCAACATACAAATGGTGTGGACCTTGATTTTGGACTAAGACTCCACAATCTGAAAATAGCCATTTCACTTTGCACTTTTACTTTATTTTGTAAATTTTTTTCATGAATAATGGTTTTAGTAACAAATGAGAGAGGGAGGGAGGAGGGGGGAGGAAATGTGGGGCAGAGGCTCCTGCTTGAAATAAGGCCTCCTGTAGCCCAGGCTGTTTATGGTTTCTGGTACCCTGCCTCCACCTCAGAAGTTCAGGGATTACTGGGGTGTATGATCATGGCTGGCTCTCTGTTGTTTATTTAAAATATTTCAATTATGGTTTTTGTTGTTACTATGGGGAGGCATGTGCTTGCTACAGTGGACACATGAAGGTCTGGACAAACTGTAATTGATTGAGTTGGTTCTTTCCTTCACTGTGTGAGTTTCAGGGATTGAACTCAGGGAGCAGGCTTGGTGATAAAGTACCTTTATCCACAGGCATCTATCTCACCAGTTGAGATATTTTGTTGTTGTTTGTTTACATTTATCTATTTGATTTTGAAGTGTTTTGCTTGCCTGTGTATATGTATGTTTGTGCACTACATGAGTGCCTGGTGCCCAGGGAGGTCAGAAGAGAGTGTCAGGTCTCCTAGAGCTAGTTACAGGGGATTGTGAGCTGCCAGGTGGGCGCTAGGAATTGAACCCAAGTCCTCTGCAAGAATAAGCTCTCCAGCCCCATTGTGTCTGACTTTTTACACAAGTGCTGGGGATTGAACCGAAATCTAATGCTTGTATTGCAGGCATATTACCAACTGATCTGTCTTCAGATCTGTGCCCCCTCCCCACCCCACCCCTTAATTGGAGCTTGTTAAGTAATCCAAGCTGGCCTCCAACACAGTGATCCTATCTCTTTTCCTGAATGTTAGGTTACAGGGTTACCATCATACCTGGCACTAACATATTCTTTTGAGTGGCTTTTTAATTTCATTTCAAATGATTAATCACTAATCTTTTATGGGCAGGGGCCTATAATAGATATTGTTGCTGTGCACTTCTTTGTGTACAATTTTATCTCTCTTTGGCAGATTCCCAGCCAAGCTTTATTTCTTTTTTGAGGTGTAGAGTAAAACATTGGCCAAGGCTGCTGTTTACTTCACAGCAGTACAGGTGTGAGGCACCATTCCTGACTTGACATCCGTGTTTTGAAGCTGATTTAAAAAAAACAAAAACAGCTAATTGGCTTTATAGAGGAATTTTCCCACTTTAAGCCTCACTGGAGAGTACCAATATTATCAGTTCATTACTTACAGTTTTCGTTTCCTTGTTTTGTAAGACTCAAGATGTAGATCAGTATATCATTAAATTGGGTGTGATGGTATGTTGTTGATATTTTTTCATCCGTAAGTAGGTCTTAAAGTATTTACTCTGGGCACACAGACACAAGAACCAGGGAGGGGGTATGATGGTTAGGGGACAACTTGTGGGAGTTGATTCTCTTCCACCATGATCGAACTTAGGTCACCAGCAAGTGCTGAGCCATCTCAAGCACCTGTAAATGTTGCTTTTATACTGCTTGCAATATAGGAGAGCTTAAGCTTAAAGTAACAATTTTGTGAAATGTTGAACACCACAAAATAGTGTAGGTGCCTTGGAGAAGGACTTTGAACTATTTCTTTGTCCCTTTACCTAAATTCAAGGGATTTAAGTAGTAGGGAAGGCTTAAAGACTGGGTGTACATAGCTCTGTGGCAGAGCACCTGCCTGCTGAGCATGTGTGAAGTCTTGGGTTCACCCTCAGTACCATAAAGATTTCAAAACACAAGAATAGCCAGGCATGATGGCTCACACCTTTAATCTCAGCACTAGGGACAAAGGAACAAAGAAAAAAGCGGATCTCTAGAGTGTGAGGCCAGCCTGGTCTACACAGCCATAGTTACATAGTGAAACTCTGTATAAAAAAAACCAAACAAATAAATAAAAAAAGCACAAGAGTATTAATAAATCTATAATATAAATGAATTGTTGGTGAGTAATTTTTGGAATTTCATTCTTTCACAATTTAATATACAAATGATTACCTTTTCTTATGCTTTCCCTTCCACCTGGACCCCTCTTTCTTCCCAACAGGCCGCTCCTACTTTCTTCTTGTCTGTTCCTCTCTCGGTCCTTTGTATTTAATTATAGTTTCCTGCATGAACAGGAATGGTAGGGTTATTTCCTTGAACAAGCATAACTTAACCATTGGAAACATCATTGAGAATATGAGTTCCCTCCCTCAGCAACCATTAACTACAGATCCTCAGGGAGGGGTGGGACTGTTTTGTTTTTTGAGATTAGTTTGGAAATTGAAGTATGCTATATATGAATTAAATTGAGTTTTGGTTTATGATTTACATATGTACATATACACATACATAACATAGTTTGTTTGCTTAAGACTGGGTCTTCCTATTTAACCTTGTCTGGTCAAGAACTTGTTATGTAGAAAGGGCAGGCTTTGAACATTAGCAGTCTTCCTGTCTCAGTATTGAGATAGTTTATTTAACGTGCATTGGTGTGAAGGTGTCCAATCCCCTGAAACTGAATTACAGTTGTGAGGTGCCATGTGAGTGTTCAGAATTGAACCCAAGTCCTCTTGAAGAGTGGCCAGTGTTCTTAACTGCCAAGCCATCTTTCCAGTGCCCATTTAATACTTTTTTAAAAATGTGTTATGGATGTTTTGCCTGCATGTATGTGTACCATGTGTGGTGAGTGCCCATGGAGGCCAGAAAGGGTGTTGAATCATCTGGAATTGGAGTTAGCCCCCATGTGGGTGCTTGGTACTGAACCCAGGTCCTCTGCAAGAACAGCAAGTAACTGCTAAGTCCTCTTTCTAGCTTCCATGTATATTTTTAAATAGCCCTTTTTTTTCTGTACCACTTTTTTGAGGTATGCTGAATATGTAAAATACTGTATACTTTTGTCAGGCATTGGTGGTGCATGTCTTTGATCCCAGCACTCAGGAGGCAGAGGCAGACAGATCTCTGTGAGTTCGAGGTCACCCTGGTCTACAGAATGAGTTCCAGGACAGCCTCCAAAGCAATAAAGAGGAAAAAAAAAAAAAAACTGTATACTTTTGATATATACAAAGGACTGGTACTTTTTTTTTTAAGATTTGTTTATTTATTATGTACACAGTGTTCTGCCTGCATGTGTGTCTGCACGACAGAAGAGGGTACCAGATCTCATTATAGATGGTTGTGAGCTACCATGTGGTTGCTGGGAATTGAACTCAGGACCTCTGGAAGAGTAACCAGTGCTTTTAACCTCTAAGCCATCTCTCCAGCCCTACAACTGGTACTTTTTATTCAATCTTTTACCTTTTGAATTAGATACTTTGAAGATATGTTAAAAGATGTTCAGGGCCACTATGCCAGTGTTTATCATGAACACCAAGGTGCCCATGCCTCCATGTCAGAAGGCCTCCTCTCTTAGCTCACCTAGCAACTGGTACAGGCCACCAGCAAGCTGACCCAGTACATCACAGTACTTTTGGTCACTCCTACAGCAAGCTGCTATATGACCTAGTAGCCTGATTGCCTGTGCATCAGCCCAGACCAGATCTGCATCAACTCTGACTTGAACTTGCCCAGCCAGGTCTGGAATGCTTCCATCTTCACTTACGTACTGTCCTGACTTGCTGCATGCAGGATTCTGTGTTCATCTACCTATAGTAACATCCACCTCCCAACCAGGGGAAATAAATGGTTTAGAGACCAAAAGAAAAGTTTTTCAGATACACAGTATTTATTATGATTTGGTGGGGTCTTTAGAAATTGAAAAGGTTGAAAATTTCTCTCTTGAAGCTATGTTCTTCCCATCTAATGCAAGAGTATGTGACTTTTTAAACATATACAACTAAGTGCCTTTTTCCAATTTTTAGAAATTATATGTGTATTTGTTCGCATGTATGTCTGTACCGTATATGTCTTGTGCCTGTGGAGGCAAGCAGGGTCAGGTCTCCTGGAACTAGAGACAGTTAGTTGTGATCCTCACTGTGTTGGTGGGACTTGAACTCAGGTCCTCTGGAAGAGCAGCAGTGCTCTTAACACAGTTCCCTTAGTGCCTATCTTAAACTATAATATACATTTGTAATCTAATATCTATAGCTTGCCTCCCCAACAATAAAGCTGTGACCTTGGTTAAGGTAATTAACTTCTTCAGCTTAATCACATAAAATTGGATAATAATTACTATTAGTAACTAGGAATATAGCTTAGTTGCTTGAGTGCTTGTCTGGTCCAAAGGAGTCCCTGGGTTCTCTCTGTACCATATAAAACTGGACAGGATGGTATATACCTTTAATCCTAGCGCTTGGGAAGTAGAGGCATGGATATCCATAAGTTCAAGGTAATTTTTGGCTGTATTTTAGAGTTTGAAGCCAATGTGAACCATAAAATTCTGTCTTTAGAGTGTTATTTATGACTTGGAGTCATCAGTGCATGAATTGCAGCAAGTCATGGCTCAACACTGTAGGTTCAAGAATTGATTATTTTGCTGGGTGGTGGTGGCACACACCTTTAATCCCAGCACTTGGGAGGCAAGGACAGGCAGATCTCTGAATTTGAGGCCAGCATGATCTATGGAGCAAGTTCTAGGGCAGCCACACATGTATTCCCTGTCTTGGGGGTGGGGGGA